TTGGTGAAGTCACTCGCAAGCAGATACAAATGCAAGTGATGCCAGGATTGCTTTGATGTTTATCTTGTTGTTGTTGTTGCTAAATTCATGTTTTTTTCTCCACTGGTCTCTTATTCCAGTGTTTCTAGTCGGCGCTCGAGTTTCAGCTACCGTGGGGACATCGTTTGAGATTAGCCCCGGTCCCTTTAAAATTGTATAATTATTTATGACGGTCCTTATATTTGAAATCTAGATAAACACTTCAAAAGGTCCTATCTGCATTCATCGATTCTCTTCATCGACTATCTCTTTAGTTAATAACTCAATTTCAAAAGCATTGCTTGCTGTGTTCAAACTTCTAAGCGCAAGACAATAATTTCTGCTATCAAACTGTGTGGCAAAAAGAACACGAAATATATTTGCATAGGCGTGGTTATCAAAACAGAAAGTCGATGAAGAGAATCGATCAAAGCAGATAGGACCTTTTTGAAATGTTCATCGAATGAAGTTTCACATTCAACTATTGTTGTTCGATTTTTATTCTAATTTATAAAGAGGCGACATGTCAAAATTGGAACAATCGATTGTCTGTCAGTCATAGGAAAAAAATATAAAAATATGTCTACATGGACCATAGCATGCTATACTTACAAATGGCATCAAAATCCGATTTTCTAAAAACATTTAAATATGTGAAAAATCTAAATCTCGTAGGATTTTTTTTACACGGTACATATCCCCCGTGTAAAAAAAACCCCTGAGTGTAATCAAAAAATTAAATCGTAGGTTATTTTTAATTTATCCTGCGATTTCATGAAAAAATAAACAAAATATGATGAAGAAATAAACACGCCCCTTCTACCAATTTCAGGTGTTATAATTAGCCACTTTGTCAAGCAGTTTTAGCATGACTTTCTACAAGCGATTTCACAAAACTGGACCAAATAATATCTATTTTTTTTAAGAAACGCACAAATGTTGGCTACTTTTCGCGAGGTTCTAGAAGAATAAATCTAAAAATAATGTTTTATTTCAAAGTTCGAGTGGTAGTAAACGTCATTTCAAGTGCTCGAATAAAGTGGTTAATTTACAAAACAGAACTACGATTCGGAGATCAGTGTGCCATGATTTTTTTTCCATATCATGAAGATGCCAAATGATTTGTCAACAAACATCATGCTTGATAGGGTTAACTACCCCATTTCTGGCCTATTAAGCATAACCAGCACTTAGTCTTTCTTAATCTAGCGTAGCTTAGAACCAAACGGAATGTATTTATTACTGATGTTATATTGTTAAAAGTCTAACACTGCTTCTTGACGCCAAACACGGCCTACAGATTCTAGACTCGGCCTAACGCATTGAATCGCCATTGAAACGCCATTGTTCCAAATTCAAAATAAATTACATTTCATTTTTAACCTAGGTGCTCCAGTTGCTGCAGTAACTTACCAGCCTTAATTGTTATGATATATAGCCAAGTGTTTTTACATTGTTCCTGTCTTGGCAATTCAGTATTTTAAACAGGTTTTTTTTAAACCTGCATGTCAGTATAACAATTGATATCTTATAACTAAAAACTAAAACTAAATCTTATCTAGGAATAAAGGGAATTAATCGTTGCAATTGAGGATTGCAACGATTTTTGCCTGAAATTATTAATTATTTTGTTGGACATTTGTTCTAAAGTCTCAACATTCGAAATTCTATGTACTTCGGTAGTACTGTACCAGGGAGGCAACTTGAAAATCATTTTCAGAACTTTGTTCTGAATCCTTTGAAGTGCTTTTTTCCTGGTAGTGCAACAACAAGACCATATTGGCACAGCGTAAAGCATGGCCGGTCTAAAAACTTGTTTAAATATTAGAAGTTTATTCGTCAGGCAAAGTTTGGATTTCCTGTTTATAAGAGGATACAAACATTTAATATATTTGTTACATTTGGCTTGAATGCCCTCAATGTGATCTTTAAAAGTTGTTGGTTGGTCAAGTATTAATCCAAGATATTTCACTTGGTTTGACCAGGAAATTGGAACTCCGTTCATAGTGACTATGTGACTACTACTAGGTTTCAAAAAGGAAGCTCTGGGTTTATGTGGAAATATTATAAGTTGAGTTTTGGAAGCGTTATTTTTGTAAATAAGAAGAGAAAATATCTAAACTTTTCTGCAGTCTGCTGCAAATAACACGAAGACTTCTTCCTTTAGCGGAAATGCCTGTGTCATCAGTGAACAAAGATTTGTGGCAACCCTGAGCAAATCAGGGAGGTCCGAAGTGAAAATGTTATACAATATAGGCCCAAGAATGCTACCCTGAGGAACTCCTGCTCTAACAGGTAGTCGATTAGATTTGGAATTTTGATAATTTACCTGCAGAGTTCTGTCAGTTAAATAATTTTGAACTAATTTCATAATATAAAGTGGAAAATTAAACTTTTTCCATTTAGCAATCAAACCTTCATGCCAAACACTGTCGAATGCTTTTTCTATGTCTAGAAGAGCAACTCCAGTTGAGTGGCCTTCAGATTTGTTTGAACGAATTAAATTGGTAACTCTTAAGAGTTGTTGAGTAGTTGAATGCCCATGGCGAAATCCAAACTGCTCATCTGCAAAAATTGAGTTCGTATTGATGTGAAGCATCATTCTATTCAAAATTATTTTTTCAAAAAGTTTACTTATTGAAGAAAGCAAACTTATTGGACGGTAGCTAGAAGCTTCAGCTGGATTTTTATCCGGCTTCAAAATTGGAACAACTTTTGCATTTTTCCATTTATCAGGAAAGTATGCCAAATGGAAACATCTGTTAAATAATTTTACCAAGAAAGACAAGGTACTCTCTGGGAGTTTTTTTTGATGAGGATATAGAAAATTCCATCATCACCTGGAGCTTTCATATTTTGAAACTTTTTAGTTATAGACCTTACTTCGTCCAAATCAGTCCCCCAGGAATCATCAAAAATATTTTCCCGAGAGAAAATATTCAGAAAATCCCGAGCAACCTGATTCTCAATAGGACTAGTAAGACCCAAACTGAAATTATGGGAACTCTCGAATTGCTTAGCAAGTTTCTGAGCTTTTTCCAAATTTGTGATCAAAATTTTACCACCTTCTTTAAGCGCTGGAATAGGCTTTTGAGGTTTTTTCAAAATTTTTATGAGTTTCCAAAAGGGTTTGGAACTGGGGTCTAATTTAGAAACATTATTTTCAAAACTTTTATTCCTCAGGGCAGAGAATCGCTTTTAAATTTGTTTTTGCAAATCCCGCCAGATAACCTTCATGGCAGGATCGCGTGTTCTTTGAAATTGTCTCCTACGGACATTTTTAAGACGGATCAAGAGCTGAAGATCATCGTCTATTATAATTGAATCGAATTTAACCTCGCATTTTGGTACTGAGGCAGCTCTTGCTTCAACTATAGAAGTAGTCAGAGATTCAAGAGCATAATTAATTTCATCTTTGGTTTGCAAAGGAATGTTTGGATCGAAGTTATATTCCATAAATGCTCTATATTGCTCCCAATCAGCTCTATGGTAATTGAAAATAGAGCTGTTGGGATTACAAATTATTTCTTGAGATATTTCAAAAGTTGCTGGAAGGTGATCAGAACCGAAGTCAGCATGGGTAACCAGTTGGCTACAAAGTTGACATGAATCAGTTAAGACCAAATCAATAGTTGAGGGATTTCTTGCAGCCGGTTGCACAGTGTAATGTATAAGATTGTGTCCCATTTGCCAAGTTAAATTTTGCCTGGAGTTAAAAGTGACATTTCGAAACTTATGTTCGATGTTCGAAAATCCCTATGTTATCGATCAATCAGTTTTCGGGCTGAACTCAGTCATGGTTGTCGAAATCTAAAAGATCTAAAAAAATTCAAAGCTCTCAAATTTCTGAAAATACGTTCTGTTCTGTGAATGTTTAAGATATTAGATTTGCAAAGCAAGTTCTCACAAATCAGCTATTCGTTTTCTTTCGGATGATCATATGATTCAAATTATAAAAAAAAATACGTCAATATAATGTTCAATTGATGCAAAAAAAAAAGACGTGTACAATTATCCAAAAATTATTTTCAAACTGTCGTTATAATAGCACCGACAAACCGACATGAATGACCATAAAAAGTACCATCAAATTTCTGATCAAAGCACAAAACTGACATCTGCCGCATGCAAAATGTATGAGTTGGTTCGTCTATTCCGGTCTAATTATTTTTATCTAGATAAAAAAGTCTATGGTTTTGACAGATGGGATCGCTGCACATTTGAATCCGCCGTTATGGATTCTCGATCAAGAGTTAAGTTTAAGTTTCAAGTCGGTTTGTCGGTGATAATAGTGTCTACATCCCAGGCCGAAAAGGATCGAATGGTTATTGCATTAGTAAATGTCAAAATCATGCAGCCATCGTTCGAGTATCTCGGTTAACGATCATGGTGATGTGAAGCCCACAATCAGCCCGAACTCCTCAAATCAACTTTATTGCTCATTAATAACTACTGTCATTCAGGGTACCTAGCAACCGTGACACGCTACCCACCGACTGACAGATCCTCTCGAGCTAAGTCCATCGATGGAAACAAGGTGAAACGTTCATCAGATAAAGACGCCATTTAACCCTGGCCATTGATGTTCGTCCCCTATTACTGAAACAGTAATTTGTACATGTTGATTTTTTACGATCCGATGCCACTAAATATGCCAAAAAACAATAAAAGTTTATTGTTAATTGCTGTACAGTGAAAAATCAGTGCGGCCGGCTATCTTCCGACATAGTCACTGACTCGCTAGTGGCCACTAATCTGAAAAAACCAGCTTGAGAGGATATCGTTGATTCTAATTTAATCAAACAAACAAAAATACAATTTAATTTGTTCCAATAAGACACAAATTTGTACAACCCTCAATGCTCAAAGGTCTAAAAATTATCCACACTTGCTTTCAATTCAATTCCATCCATCCATCCATTGAGCATCATCATCGTCCAAAATCAATCATTATCACTCATTTTCGTTCTTCCTCATTTCAGACACAGAGTCATTTGCGGTATGGCCGACCATCATCCATCCACGAGCAAGCCCCCCTCCTCCGACCAGGACACGCGTCTGCAGTTTCTAGAGCACTTTGACGACATCTTCAAGTGTACAATCTGTCTAATCAAACTGGATGACCCTCACCTGTGTCCTCGCTGTTCCAAGCTCTACTGCTACGACTGCATCTCGGAATGGTTGCTCTCCGAGTCCGAGCAGCACTTGTACTGTCCAAACTGCAAATTCGACCTCCAACTGGACAAGCTGGTGAAAGTACGTTGGTTCGAGGAGGTGGAAAAACTACAACGAAACTGCCTTGAACCGGCAGCGACGACGTCTTCGACGAACAAACCAACGACGTCGAGCGGCGCCGCTCCGCACAGTAACGGTGCCATCGCCAAGAAGAAGGACATCTGTCCGAAGCACCTGAGAGGCATCAACTTCTACTGCTGTAGCTGTAAGCTGTGCGTTTGCGATGAATGTGCCGTGGCGGACGAGCACCATCTGGATCATACGTTCAAGAGTTTGGACGTGATCTATGACAGCAACCTGCAGATTGCGGAAGAAGAGTTCGAGAAGGTTAGACATTACACGAAGAAGATTGCGTCGCTGGTCGAGAAAGTGGAACGCAACGTGGAGCTGGTGAAGAAGGTGAAGGAGGAGAAACTCAGGGAGATTCGATCGATCGCGGAAAGTGCCATCGAAGGGCTCGAAAGGCAGGTCAATGACAAACTGCAGAAGCTGCAGGGCCACAAGTATGCGCTGATGGCCGAAATGCAGGACATCGAACAGTCGCTCCGGCTTATGGAGGGAGAGGTGATGGCGAGCAGCCGGTCGCAGTTTATTGCGAAAAAGTCTAGAATTTTCAAGGAGTGCAACAAGATTCGGATGAACCCGATCAAGGACTTTAAGCAGATTCGGGTGCCGGTTAGTTTGAAAATGTAAGCATGATTTGCAGATTGCGGAGTGTTGGCCGTTATTTCGGCACTACGCGGTCTCCATGGCAACCCGAAATGTATCCATGAGAAAATTGCAGACTGCTTTTAAATTAATCTACTGTTATAATGGAATATGCATGGAGCTTTCCATATGTTTTCACGGTACTGGGGATACTTGCACCTTGCACCATACTGATCACGCATACGGCGAATGAGAATGACCCAAATTTGAGTTTAGTTCACTCATAATCGCCAAAAGTGCAGGAACTCAGCGATGAGTAAATTTTCCTCATGGTTTCCTGTGGAAAACCTAAGAAATCTGCCTGAAAATGAGGAACATCGTCGAAAATTTTACTCAGTCTACGAGTAGTACCAATAGGCTGAGTGAATCCAATCTTTACTTTTCTTATATTCAGGAAGTTTTTCTTGGGCAAACCTGGAAAAAAATGAGGCAAATATTGAGGCAAATTTACTCATCGCTGAGTTTTGGCACTTTATGAGTTAACTAAACTCAAATTTGGGTCGTTCTCATTCACCGTGTAAAAGTTCGGGTTGCTGGAAAGCTATTTCAAAACTACCAAAATTGGGGTAGAATCCACCCAGATCGGTCAAAACTGAACCTACCTAAAAATGGGTAAACTATGTTGGGACTGACGAGTTGGCAAATGGACAACATCAACATGAATCCCATCGACTGCAACAAAATATAAAGTTTTCTCCCAAACTAAAACTTGTTTATATTTTGTACCAGAATTTTCTTTAGTGGGCGATAGTTACCAATTGGGGTCTTTAGGGGTATTAAGTTAAATGCATATTCGTACTCTGCATTAAAAATGGAACCGAAATCCAAAATTTCATCAGTTTTGGTGCACCGGAACTATTTTAAATAATTACGATTACTTTAGTCATAATCACCATCTTAGCGCCTCTTGATGGGACTTTGTATGAAAATGAGCTGTCAATTTGTTAGTTTAGTGTCAAACAGTGAAGTTATTATTTTGCTTTAAATTTTGATCGAGATGAATGTCTATGGATTCGAAAAAAAAAAATATCGTTGTGCTCAGAAAACGAAGCTCTTTTAGATGGTGTACAAAAGCCGATAATTTTTTTCAAAATTGAAGAACCCAATTATATTATCTTAATCATACACCAGAATTAAATATTACCATTTGTTATCAAAATTCATAATACATAATTAGCATTAGCAATTCCTAGCAAGTTCACATTCTCCAATTTCTTGCAGCGAAATTCCAATCATCTACGAGACTGGCATTTTTGTGATAGAAAACTTTTCCTCCTTCGATGACAACAAGGTGGCCTATTCAAACGAATTTACCGACAACTTTGGCCACATCTGGCGCATCATGGTGTGGTGCGTGATCTCCGAGGATCAGCTGGGAATCTATCTGGAACTGGTCGAAGGATTGCCTTGCTGGTAGTATAAGTTCTTTATCAATTTGAAACTGCTATCATCAACTACTGTGATTTACCATTATCCAGGATGGAATGTCGCTTTCAGCTGTTGCATCCGGAGTCCAAGCGCATCATCCACAAGAAAATCACCCAGCATTTTGATCGATCCACCCAGAAGGACTGGGGATTCCGCGATTTCGTAGCCCTGAAGACCATTCTGGACGACAACTATCTGAAGGACGACGACTCGCTGGAATTGTTGTATCACATTCGACCGTGTGGCGGCACTGGAAGCGGCAGCGGCGGTGACTTTGAGTAAATAATCCGGAATCGACTGATTAACACGATAATTACGAGAGATGTACAGACTGCGCCGACCTCCTTACCTCGAGTAAATGAAGTGTTCTTTTTATCACTTGAGACCGGGTGTCTTTTTTATCATTCCCGATTCCATCGCTTACGGCATCGTAAAAATTCGCTAAAAAGCGGCCTGTGGAGCAGCGAAAACATTCCAAATCTTGCATAACTTGGCCATTTCCATGCCGGTTTTTTTGTGGTTGTCCGAGAGAATACTCTCAGTCTCTTCTTTTTGCTATTTCCCCGCGGGGTACCCCTCGAGGGTAGGCTTTGGTGGGATAACACGCGGTCCACTATTGTGAGTAGGCATGTCTTCAGCTAGTGTCATTTGCTTGCGATGGAAAAACATTACTTGAAGAGAAACCGAGATTGGATTGGAACAGACTGCTGGTTGTTTGTTGGTGGATGAAAGAAATGGCTGTGAGATAAGGTTGTACTTGTTTGTCTATATTTTAACTTAGGAAGTTGTTAAGGTGAGATGAGCTTGTGAAATTGAGAAAGGGTGAAAGGGGTGTGTAAGCTGGTTGTCTCAGGGGTGGCCTAATCAATTATTGGAATATATACTATTCTTCTTCTTATTTCCTTTATTTAATGTTGACCTCTGATCCGCAATCGAGCGCCAATGACCGACGTACAGGCGACTAACTATAAACACATGGGCGTCTTTCGAACGAAGACGTGAGCAGTGATTGTTTTGCCTCCGAAAATTCCCAACGAACTCAGCTGGGATTAAACCCAGACACACTGGGGTAAGAAATCAGTCACGCTTACCACTCAATCACAGGCGCCTTCGGAATATAGTTGAGTATTAAAACAAGTCTGGATTAAACTTTATTTCTGAAAGGAAAAAATAGATTGGAAAGAAAAGAAGCAAATCAAAAATTCTGCAAAAAAAATAGCAAAAAAGTAGAAGGGTAGCTTGACGTAGGACCGCTAGTGCACAGTTGAGTAAAGTTGAATTACGTTGTTTGTTGATCTCGAGGCTTTCTGCAACATCCAATTTCCATGATGTAGATACAGTTCGTAAAATCGTGATGTCTTCCGTCGATAGTTGGTGGTCCTCTGTGAAGATGTGTTCTGCAACCTTTGATTTGAAATCATATGTTAGGCCCTTTTCCTCTTGCTTTTTGGCCTTATTAACCTCCGCTATATGTTCTTTAAATCTAGTTGCTAAAGTTCTCTTGGTTTGTCCTACATATACTTTGTTACAATGATTACAGCTTATTTTATATAAACCTGCTTTACCTAAAACATTAACTGGGTCTTTAGTGGATCCTAACAATGATTTCAACTGATTATGTCTACTGGTGAAAACTAAATCTAATCCGAATTGTTTTAACTGTGGTCTTAGCTTGCAAGTAATATCTTGATCAAATGGAACGGACAATCGTTTCAATGGTTCAGGTGCTGCGGTGAGGGTTGTAAATAATCTCCTTTGTAGAATTCTCGCTTTTTTATCGATGATTGCCTGGATTGTGGTCTCCTTGTATCCGTTGAGTCTTGCTCTTTCGAAGATGTACTGTAATTCCTTAACCTTTCCTGTATCGCTGAGTGGAAGAGTCTGCATTCGATGAATCATGTGGTGAAAGGCGGCCATTCTCTGCTGGAACGAATGGTTGGAAATAGCGGCGCCGGTGGTGTAGTGGTAAGCGTGATTACCTCTCACCCCAGCAGGTCTGCACACTACGAAAAAGACATGTAAATTTCAGTGCCCTGAGACCGACACATGCAAGCGGCCCTTTTGACATAAGAATCAGTTGAAAAGGACGAGAATATCAATTCAATCAAACGCACCTTTAGTCGAGTTGCGTATGTTTCAGTTTCAGGACACTCAATTTTACATGCAATGTTTGTTTACGTTCCATGATTTACGTCAAAGCTGAATTACGTCTCGTGTAAAAATAATAAATTCTAAGTGTGTGGGTTCAATCCCAGTCGGCGCCGCTGGGATGTTCTGAGGCATAACATCTCTGATCACGCCTTCCATCGGAAGGGAAGTAAAGCCGTTGGTCCCCGGTTCATGAGTTGATGGGTCGATAGGTAGGGTCCAGGTGTGGGAACCTCGTGAGTGAATTTGATATCCTTGTGAATTCTGTTGATCTCATCTAAAATTTGTGGAAGGGCTTCCCGTTTAACTACGCTGAAGGTATCGTCAACAAACCTCCACCAACGGTTTGGTAATAGTCCTTTCTCCTTCAGGATTGTCTCCAAGTTGGCCATGAAAAGTTCACACAAGAAGGGGGATAGGGGGTTTCCCATTGGGGCTCCTTTCGTCTGCTTGGAGAAGTTACCTCGGAAAGAGAAGTAGTTCTCTTCCATACAAAGGCGGGTCAGCTTAAGGTACGTCCGAACCTTGTTTCTCCATGCTGCATCCTTTCGTTGTGTTAATAGCCAGGCCTCCAAATGGTTGATCGCTTCCTTGACCGGTACGCTGGGAAAAAGAGCTGTGACGTCGAAAGATACCATAATCTCGTCCTCGTTGATGTCTCCTGAAGATTGTAGTTCCTGGGCGAACTCCTGGGTGTTACTAACTGCTTTACTCTGGAACTGATTCAGCATACTCTGGAACTCTTTGACTAGCCACTTCGCTAGTTTGTGGGTGGGGGAACCAACTACAGACACGATCTCTCGCATTTCATTTACCGGTTTGTGGACTTTGGGGAGACCTTTGATCCTGGGTAGAATGGGATTGGGTTCCCGTAAACGACCTGCTCCATCTCCTAATATCGATTTGCACTCCTTCAGTGCTTTCTCCACGCGTTTCACTATGTTCTGTAAGGGGTCTACTCGAAGCTGTCTATACGGTCCGTTGTTAATCTTCGTTGTCATCTGATTATCGTAATCGTCCTTGTCCATGATAACGACCGCGTTTCCCTTGTCTGCCTTCACGTAGTATACTGCTTTACTTTTTAGTTCCTTTACAATCCGAATTTCTTTTTCGTTGGCGCGACTTTGTTCCTGTCCGTCATTGATTATGTTCGATGTGATAGTCCTAACCGTATTCTGTGATGTTGTTGGAAGCGTCTTGGTAATCGCTGTTTCTACGTCAATGATGATCTGCTCCACGTCTGGCTTGGTTGTAACCGCGTATCCTAGTCCCTTGTTGAGGTGTGTCAATTGTTCTTCGGTGAATGCGGTCGTCGATCGGTTGACAACCAACCCATCAATGGAGTGAACCCTCGTAGTCGTGGTGATGGTTGATGGGATCTGCTCCCCCGTTCGGTGTGTCGTCCGTCTCCGTTGAGACTCCTGTCGTAGTCTGTTTAGCTTCCTATCCTGCAGCTTCCGCTTTACTAGGCCTTCAAGTGTCGTAGAATTTTTCTCATAGAACTAATCCCGGGTGGATCGAGTTTCGGAAAACCACCGTCTAAACTTTGACCGAAAAATCGTCGTCGATCTTCACTTCTCTTCAAATCCGAGTGAGGGTAAAAGTCTTACGCGGTTTTTCCACTGGTATACTGTTCGTCCCCTTCACTGGGATATCGTGTGTGCACTCTTCGAACGTCCAGTCACCAATCACTCCCGCTACAACTTCCAGCTTCGCCTTGAGTCCCCTTTCTGTACTCACTCACGTTGTTGATCATCCGGAAATGGTGAAACGTAGAGATCTCATAACATTTGTAAGTGTCAGCCACCTCAGTCAGGAACACTTTCGAGACTCCCTGACTCCAATGGCATCAGGGTCGGCACGCTTACCGATTGCAATTACGCGGGCAGGGAATGATCGCACGTGACACACAGAAAAAACTCCACAAGCACTTCACTACTCAAGAATACACATTTATTTCACTTTCCTGAACTTTTATTCTCCCTCTAGGTAGTAATTATTCTCCCACTTTCTTACAATCTATCTGACCTGTTTTCTTCGTCGAGGCCCCTCGCAACACCTCCACTATGTGTCTTCGATTGTCGACCGCTTGTCCTCGGTCGACGTCCGCTTCCTCTCCACTTTCTCGTCGTGTATCTCGTTCGCGCGCTTGCTGTACGGGGTGGCGATGACGAGCACCAGGTTACACTTCCTGGGCCTATGAGTTGGTGACGAACTTGGCCGGCAGGCAATGACGGTGTATCCTTCCGGTACGTCTACCGAAACTTCACTGCGTACAGGTGATCTGTACTAAATACAGCGGGGTCCTAATGGTCAAATACATTTGGCATTAGGACCATTTTAACCAAAATGGTAATTATTGCGGTTTACCTGCTGTCCTTGACTCTCTCCTCACACTTTTTCACTGTTTCCACTCTTACTTGCGTCAATTTAGCTGGCTTGCTTTCTTGATGAACCGTTTTCGCTGGTGGTCTTACGATCAGTGCTTATTAATTTCAGAGTTGAGTGAGTCATTGGGTCACTGCTCCAGGCTGTCGGCCAGTGACCCGGGCCATTCGTCGTTCATCGCCAGTTTGTCGTGCCCGTTATCCTCCATTCAAAATGGCCATCTCTATCGCCACCCCCATGGCCTCCCAACAGTTCCTCCAACCTCTGTTAAACAAATAATACAAATTATACTACATTATTTATACAAAAAAAACTTTTTACCGTTCAAAGTCTCCTATAAATAACTAGCTATCTGTAATTCAGCTAACATCTCTTGCAGTATGTACTGCACAGTGGCCATGTTGCTTATTTTTTTCATACTTGTACAACACGTAGCCTGTACGTGAAAGTCTAGCTGTCAAAAGAGTGTCTTCAACGTACGTGATTTTCACGTAAGTGTTATGGGATAATAAAGTGGATATGAAATGTGTTCCTTATGAACATCATGATGTGAAGCAAACCGAAACATGAAGCTGAAATTAAAAGTAGTAGGCTTTGTGATTAATCAATTAGCTATATAAGTTCCTGTGAGATTATACTCTTTCTCTTTTGCCAATAAACCACTGCCTCGACAACACCTTTCAATAGGTTATGGGCCCAGGCGCGCGATTACCATAGCAACGTGGTTTGTTTGGCGTAGTACGGAACGCAAGAAAAAAAAATTTCACGAGCAAAGTGAAATTTCGGGTCGATCGATCGAAGTAAAAGTGTCGGATACGGTTTTACGGTTCGGACGATTGGAAGCGGA